ATCAGGAAAGGGGTAACCACCTACTTCGTGGTTACCATGACAACAGGAAAGTTCATCAGACTTCCAGTAAAAGTCAATCGCTGTCACTATCTGGATCATCCTCCCTTTTCCGGTTTTCACTGTCTCCACTATAGCATTTACAGAGAGGAGTGCAGGGCAAATCGTTGTTGGAGCAGCTACACCGTCCCTTGCATCCTGCTTTGCAGCCACATTTGATGAGTTCAAGTACTGCCCATGGTGCAGGGAGCCTAAGACACTTGACTGGAAGACATCCTCGATTATCTGAGTTGGAGGTAACATCTCACCTTCCAGGTTCTTTGATCGGAACAGTTCCCATCTGAGTGATGGTAGGGTTGTTGGACCTGATGAACAGTAAAAAAACGACATATGAAATGCTCTAGTGCCTTCACCTGTGTTGGAAGCTCTCCATTGCTAAGCTCAGTTGGAATGGAACCCTCGCCCAGTTCTTTGAAGCAGATAATAGCAGGATCATCATCATCAAGCTTTAAGTAGGCATTAATCCATGTCTTCTTGGATATCCCAACAAACTTCCTCCCCAGTCAGCACCAGAAAAATTGTGAAGTCCAAGGAGGCCTTGACATTTTTGGTGTCCAATGACTTGAACCCGCTCCAGCACATCTATTTCTCGTTTGTACCCTTGCCTGTAGAAAATTGTAGAGAAGTGGGCACTGCATTGTTTCCACAAAATACTAGATGAATTAAGAGAAGGAGGACATCAGTGTGTCAGGGGACCAGACAGTAATTTCTTGCAAGGCACCACTAGCAGTAGAGGCAAGGACTTGATAATGAATCAGGGTATCAGCCTCTTCATGTGTGTGCGCCTCCTCCAAATCATGTCCCTTGATGAAGGTATCATACACAACTACTAGCTTGAAAGGGCTGTCCGTGTTCTGTGAAAAGTTATCAAGCAGCCCCTGACCTAACAGGCACGTCAGCTTTTTCTTGGTTGACGATGAAGATAGAAGCTCCTTGATGGACATTTCTGGGTGTATCTCGTATTCTACTGATGTAGTTGCCCTCTTTTGTCGAGTCTTGTTCTTTAATGACTCTTCCATATATCGATCAAACACAACTCGACCTTCATCATAGCTAGCCATCATCCCTTCGATGCGCCTGTTGAATGCATTCTGCAGGTCTGACATATTTTGCATGGCAGCTAGTGTCTTTTTCATGCCTTGAAGTACACCCATGACGTCAATTATCAGCACCTTGACAGGAAGATCATGCAAGAGGTTAGGTTTTTGGGCTGCTCCAGAAGGAACCTGCGTTATCTCATATTCTACGGTAACCGGAACCTCTTCCTGCATCATTTCAACCTGTGGGGAAGTTGAATATGATTATCCTCCACGACATCAGGCTGTTTTACAGCATCGGGAGGTTCTGTCTTTGCATCTTCAACTGCATGCATCAGACTTGCTTTGTCTGTTGGGATGTACAAAGAACCATCGACAGCACATAGTGAACGGGGAACCACTGACATTTCATATTCACCTATTGTTTCCGCAAGTTTAGGAACTAAGCTTGGGCGGCTGCCTTGGATGATAAGGAATCTTCCCAGCAATTCACTTTCCTCCCGCAACTTGATGACCTTGTCTTCAACACGCACTTTCCTTTTCTCCATCCATTTCGAAAAGGATTTCAGCTTCAGTTTCTTCATTTTGTCCCACACCGAGAGGGTTGATGATGAAAGCAAACGATCAGATACAAACTCCTCAAAGCGCTTCTGGCCCTTTTCTGCAAAGTGGAGAATGTCACTTTTCGCCTCATTTGACACAAGTGCCGATGAAACCAGACTCTATTGTGTCTTCTCCTTGAAAGGATTGACTCCGCCGTGCAGCTCGATTAGGTGGCGTAGTTTCATAGCATTCTTCTTTGACCTCACTGCAATGTCTCCTGAGAGCTGATGATGCTCCTTCCTCACCGAAGCTCCAGTAGCTTTTGGGAAGTCATTGAGGTAATGATTTACCAGAGCAGCAGGGTGAGGTGTGGTCATGGGTGTCGATACTTACGTAATACCTATTCATCAGGGGGGGGGGGGGATGAATGAATAGATCATCCCCCCCCCCTGATGAATAGGTATCAGTTACGGATCGACACCCAGGGGTGTGGTAGTGACTAGTCGGTCCTGAGCGGCTTCATTTCTTGTGAGTCCAACCATCCCACCATTCCCCTTTAGTTTCTTGATTTCTTGCTCTAGAGCCTGATCAGTGAAGAGAAGAGAAAAGGGTATCTCTGACTTTGCCACCACAAAGTCTCCAGACTTGAGGGCATTCCATGTTTCTGGATCATCCTATTCTAGGGCATTCATGAGCGAGATGGACTGGCATCAGGCGAGCATAGTTCAGGAGATCACGAGCAAAAAGTATTTGGTGAGGTCTTCTAGTGATGACAAGTAGCCCTCCCAGTCCCCTGATCGACATGAACTAATGAGATGTAGAAGACTCTCCACCTGGTTAAGATACCGGGTCAAGAACTGGGCAAACTCGCCAAGGTCTTCAGCTTCTTCAAGCGGTTTGACATTGCTTGAGTACCAGGATTGGATTTCTTCATAGATCTCCACCATCTCCGGGTCATTTCCATGAAGTTTTTCTTTGAGAGAATTGCACTGGATGCGAATTGGACCCTTGGGAAGATCCGATAGTATGGCATCAAAACGCAACATTATGATTGCAAGGCTTGCAGTAATGTGGAATTCAAGGCCACGCTTATAAGCTTTACCACCAAAGATCCTGCGAAGAGATGCTAAGGTGTACGCACCACATTCGATAGCACACGTGTCAAGACCGCTACCATCGATGGTTTTGCCAAGAGCATGTAAGGCAGCGAAAGCAATGTGGAGAGCTCCAGCTCTTAAGATCCAGTTGGCGTTTCCCACCGACTGCTGAATCTTCAACGCTCGGGAGTAAAGATCGAGATCTAGCGTTATCAATGTCTTTCTGTGAGGGCCAACAACAGTCGCAGATATTCCCTGGGATAACCGAAGAACAGTATAGAGGGTCCCATAATCAGTTGGCGATGTCTTGAATAATGGGGCAACCACCGCTGTGTTTGTAGGCGTGCTAGCGGGAGAGGATTTAGACAACAATAAGGACCTAGTTGCAGCCCATGTTGGAAGAAAATCATTCTTTGCTAGTTTATCTGATTTCTTCACCTGCTGTTTGATGATCATGACAGAGTTTGTTTCCTCTCTGTCCTTTGAAGACCCAGCTTCCTCCTTCTTGCTAGAAGGCTCATTTTCCTCATCATTTGTAGACTCTGCATCACTTGGCATCTCTTCACTGCGCTGGGCTTCTTCATCATGCAGCTGAGGTTCAGTTCGGATGATTTCTCCGTTGTCATCTGTAGTAAGGTAGTACACAAGAGCCCAGGTATGAGTGAATTCTTGAGAAATGAGATTTTGTTTCCTCTTCTTGTAGGCCTGAAATCTCAGTGGGCTAGTTCTGATGTCTGGCTCTGGAAGCACATTCATCTCAAATACTAGAAGGCCTTGCGAAGAAAGTTTCTCGGGTATGACACGTGGTTGATTCACTGGCTCTCCATCTACAGCCTGTTGGTTGATTACCACTGTCCCGTGAAAGGTTCCTTGCCCTGTGGGTGTGTCTTCCAAGAGATCAATGTTGTCAATGGCAAACCAGATGTTCACACCCTTCTTGACAAAATCAGGAAGACAAAACCCAAGAGAGGGATACTGCTCCTTTGTTAGTAACCGAAAATGTTTGTGCAGTCGTATTGTTAAAACAGCTGAATGGTCTCATTAAGATGCACATAATCAGAAGGCGGTGGATCTCATTGGATCAAAGAAAGAATAACGTTGAATGTCCTTCCGTAATAGGTCCATGATCTTATATATATATATCAATGCATACAATGTTTACCAATTTGTCAATTTAACCATCTAAGTTGATTGATTGATCAAGAGTAATAAAGTTCTCTCTTGTTTTTGCAATTTATTTTCTTCTTCTCTAACCGATAATGAAGACCCACATCACATAAAATCGAGATTTGCCATTGGCTATATGTTTATGCTTACCTTGGAAAATCAGGCAATATACTGCAAAAGAGGGGTCTTTATTCTGTCAAACTTGCGAAGACCAAGGAACAAAACAACTTTTACCACATAAGAGCTGGAAACAATGATCACAGAGCAGCTTATGTAGGAATGTATGCGCGCTGTGTGCGCGCGAGCGCACTTGCCTGTGAATGTTTGGGTGTGTGTGTGAGTATGTGCGTGTGGGAGGAAGGGTGTGCGTGTGTGCATGAGCGTGTGCGTGGGTGCGTGTGTGTGTGTGGGGGGGGGAGGTAGATGTGTATACATGAAGGTTGTCTGTATGTTTGTTTCTGTCTCTTTGTGTTTGGAAATGGGCTAGTAAATATATATGATAATGGTAATAAAAGTACTACACCTTAAAACAGCTGGCCGAACAATGGCAAAGGTACTGCGCAAATTGGGCTGACGGGGTGGGGTAGGGATGGGGATGGGTTGGTTGGAGGGTTTATCCAACTGAAAGTCTTCAAATTACCTTTCTCGGTGTTGAGGGATAACCACAGTTCTAGAAAACAACTCAAGTTTTGTGAAACCAGTCATTAGATGAATGACACACCCAATTTTAGGGGGTCTCATGATAGGAAACTACCCCCCCCCCCCCAGAGAGGGGTTGAGGGTCGGGAAAATTTGAACCCCATCAATTTCTGATAGCTTGGACCCCAATCAATCCAAAAATGCCAAAAAATCAATTTTGCACAAAAGTCCTACGGGAGCTGTTTCAGTGACATACCGTACCACACTAAGACATTAAATTCACGAATTCGCCCAACACTGACGTCGTGCTTGGAAATGCGAAGTGAGTTGCATTATTATTTTATAAAAATACATTGTACCTTTATCGACTACAGTTATCGAAGCAGCCACGTTCGGGCTATGTAGTTTACGTTCGTGCTATGTAAGAAACAAAATGTTGCAAATAGATGCTACTACTTACCCCATCATGTGAGTGGAAAGGTCGTCGAATGTTAGTGCAGTCAGCTAGAATCGGGTTTTCGTTTCAATTTCACCGACGTCGTCTGCTATCAGCTTTCAACTAGTTGTTGTGTTCAGAGTGAAAATGTGTTGGCATTGATCACAGACTGCTATTTTTTTAATGTTCTGCATGCTATAGAATAATTCATAATGCAAATTATCGTCTCTTGTAAGCGTTGATTTGAAAATGAGACCAGTAGATTCACTGGTAGTGTAGATTCCTTCACTCTAAGATGTGTTAGAATAATAAGAGATCTGTTTCGAAAGGAATTATTAATGAGGGTACCCGCGCGGTCAAAGTATAAAGCGTTGCCCAGGGAAGCGTTTCTTAAAATAGGTAATGGCTTATGAGGATCAGAAGGCTCAGGGAAAATTGAGGGTAGATGAGGAGAGGGGGGGGGGGGGGAGAGAGGCGGGTATTCTTACAATGGCTGTACGACACTATGCTCCTGCGACAACATCCGGGACAGAATGTTTCGTTCAATTTTCGACACTAACCGAATTCTTAACTTCAACCCTGGACCGAACACTATACACCTAATTATAACCATAACATTTAAACACAAAGTCAATCCCAATCGCAACCTTAACTCTTACCCTTAAACTTTGACCTTATTTTGTTTGTACAGGCTTTTTTTTTCGGGGGGGGGGTATACATTATCGGCATAGTTGTACGATCGAAGCGGGGGGGGGGGGGGGGAGTAATCCCCGGGAATTTGAAGAAAAAAAAATAGTCTGTGCATAGGGCCACCCAAGGAAAAAACAGAGAGTGACAACCCTAGACAGGTTCTACAACGCACATTACATTCTCGAGGGAGACAAAATCTATGGGCAGGTGGCCACCATAAGACAGGTTTGACTGTACCCATATTAGGGCGCCGTCATCTAATAATCGGGTAGTGAGGGTGCCTATTTCTAGTTTCTGTCAGATTATGTAGAATTTACTCGCTCCCAGAATCTAAAAGGGGAAATAGATTTCGGGCAAGAGACTTTAGCCCTCCGTCCCAACCCCCCCCCCCCCACCCCCCACCCCCCCCCCCTTCCCCCACCGGAAAGGTGAAATTATGCCCGCATGTCTGTGATAATTATCAGTTATAACATTATTTTGGATTGCTCTCTCTCTCTCTCTCTCTCTCTCTCTCCCTCTCTGACCCCATTTGCCCCTCTCCCCACCCCTCTCTCTCTCTCTCTTTCTCTCTCTCTCTCTCTTTCGCTCTCTCCCTCTATCTATTTTCTCTATTTTCATCCTTTATCCATTTGTATTTTTCTTCTTATGTTCCCTTCTTTTCCTTTATAATAATTTCCCTTGATGTCTCTGGGGCTCTGTCCTTTTTTATCACCCTCACTAACAACAAGTCCTCTTTCTCCATTATAGACCTTTTCAATTTTATTGGACACATTAATTCTCTATTACGAAAGTCAGAATAATTTTGTTTAAAAACACACACAAATGTCAAATATAACAATGGCCTTTACCATGGGCAAGTGTCTCAATTTTAGATAATTTTTTTTTAATGAATAATATTCTTTGTCATAATGATTTACTCCCATTAAAATATCGAGGATGGATATCCAGGCTTTTAGGAGTCTTGGATCACATCGTAGTTAGAGTATAAATCCACTCCAAACTTAGTGTGAAATCCACGCTAAAAGTAGTGGTCTAAATCACTCCTTTGAGAGCGGATACCGTTATTTGATTACACTCCAAACAAGAGTGGATTTCCATTTCTGTAAATTTAGAGAGTATCATTTAAATGATAGGCCATATCATTTTTCAAATAATTTGATTTGAAAGGCGTCGCGTCGGTTTAAAATGAGAAGGAAAAAAGGGATAATTATGCAGCATTAGTGTTATGACGACCGGGAAATAAATTATTACTGGTAGGCCTACCTTACGGATGACAATTTAAGTATTCATGCCCTTACCAGTTTTTTTAATTTTGTTTTTCCTCTTTAATATTTTTGTAATTTTCTAAGTATGTGAGAATTAGAATTGTCCCGATGTATGCTTCTTGATAATCTGACATATTAAAGCGTACATCTAAAAATATTCAACAAAAGTCCTAATTCACCCGGCCCACTTTTGTTTTCTTGAGTTACGAACAACACAAAAATCATCAAATTTTCAAGGGGTATGAGTAATTTAGTTGTTAACTGTATATTTTTAGATTCAGTATGAGAGAGAACATGTGTCCCTTGTAGAATGTTCGGTGTACCCAAAAACAAAAAGAGATTAAATAACTTAATACCCTATTTTCTTTTCTTTTGCATGTTTGAAGGTTTCAAGGTGTGTAAAATTGTGGGTAAATTTGGTCCAACACTTCCCGTTCAAATAGGTTTAGTGTTGCTCGTATAAAGGGGCGGGGTAAGTCTAGGGCCAGCTTCTCGAAACCATAATATTAAGTCCAAGTTATTGGATATCCTATAGTAACGCGTGTTAATTCTACAACACACGTTTCAATAGGATGTCCAAGAAATACAATTTCTCATTGCTGTATAAAGCAAGTTCGTGCGTGCGCCAGTAAATGGATTGATTGATTGATTGATTTATTTAAAGGCACTTAAAAAAAAAAAAATCACATTTAGCTGCTGGGCTGGTTTAAAAAGGGGCCGTGAAACAAGTACAATCAACTCTTAAATACAAATACAAAAAAAATCAAAACAACACAACAAAATATATTGGCCTATCATCACCAAAAAAAAGTATAGGATCTTTTTAAGACAGAGCATAGAAAAATTCACGTGTAGTGACGATGATTAAGGTTCATGGAAGAACCAATTATGGCAGTATAATGTACCCTGAATGAAAGGGGATAAAGAGTGAAATGCAGTAAAATACAACGCAACGTTGCACAGTTCACTTTGCATTCACATTGTGGATGATGTCTCTGTCCAGAGATGCGTCAAAAATCTTATGACGCAGCGTGAGCACCGGTCATTATAATGCTCGATGCACATGCTGCGTCATTTCGACTGCGCTAATACCAGCCCTTAATACCAAGCCTCTGAAGACAGACAATCAGTCAATATTCATATACCAACTATTAATTTAAAGAAATTGTTGCATTCTCCATGCCACTTTCACACGAGTGCTCCAAATAAGTGTCCAAGTCGCTGACGGAGCAATGCGTCAAGCAAATGACGCATGATATCTTTATTAATACACGCTTAAAAAGCCCAAACAGTTGCAAGACTGATTTCCATTGGGGCTGTGTGAAACAATGTAAATACATCAAATAAACACAGAAATGACAATGGTACATCAAATGAAATAGGCCTATCTAAAGCAAACAAGAAATAACAGGCTCAGGAAAAAGAACAATAGAATAGTATTGCCGGGAAAGTATATTTATATGAAAAACAATAATCATGAGTGGCCAAACAAGAGTACTGTAAATATACTTCAAATTCAAATTGGTTAGAAGAATTGTTACTAGTTCAAATAAACTGCCGGAAATGATATATCAAATTATAAATAGTCCAATGTGGCTGGTCAAGAAACTGCATTGTTACAATTAAGGATATGATAACAATTCTGTTTAAAGTCAGCAAAAGAACACTTGAAAGTGAAGTCAAATAATAAGCATCGTACGTGTGCATCGTGGGTGTCAGGACTCCGCCATCCTCATTTTGGCGGGGCTGACGCAATCTTGAGGTACGCTAGAAGATCGGCTCGTTTCTGTTGGTCCTTTTTTAGAGCTCTAAAGAACATCCTGGTACCGGGTATATGACCATGCTCAAAGTAATCCCATAGCCTCCTGTCATTCCAAATTATACCTGGGGAGTGTTTCACAAAGACTAAGATTAACTTTACGTTGGACTTAACTGTGACAGGCCTTTCATGCCACTGGTTTCTCTCACCATCGGTCTCTCAATTATGATCTTTAGATAATATTTTTTCCTTCAACAATGATTTATCAAGGAAGCTGAATTTTGTAGATGTGTGACCATGATTTGTACGTCCCTTGAGATGAGATATCATTGCCTGTTAATGATGAGAGCAAACAGTGGCATTAATGGCCTGCCATAGTTAAGTCCAACTTAAAGTTGATCTTAGACTTTGTGAAACAACCCCCTGTAGTGATAAAAGAATGGTAATGGTAATGATAATGATTATTTGTTTGTTTTTACTTTTGGCATAGCACATTTCGCATTACAAGGATTAACCACTACCCAACCAGCAACAAAATGTCAAATTTTGCATACGATCTACAGCCAAAATCTGAAGTAAATTTAAAGAAAATTGGATTTGGATGAGGGCCCCCCCCCCCCCCAAAGGTTTTCATGAAGCACCTCCATCACTTTGGCAGTGGTTATTCTAAATTGCACAAAGTGGGGCATATCCATTGTGTAAAAGATCTGTGAATATTAAGGGTCCCAATGGACCAAAGCTCATAACGAACTGGTTTATTGAACAATTTTCAGTTACATATTTCTATAAGCAAGTTCATAGTTGCAGTCTGAGCATGAGCAGATAAAGGTCATTGCAGACTCAATTGTGAAATACATGGAGACACAATACTGGACACGTACTCATGAAAGTTATGTAATCATTATTCATTTACGCACTCCATGATACACATGTGGAAGTATTCTTTCAAAAGAGGAAACAAAGGATATTTATGTAGCACCTCCATCGCTGTAGGAGTGATTATTTCAAAATGTACACAGTGAGACCTCTTCATGTTTTGAAGATCTGTGGATATTCGGGGTCATTTGGGCATGTGCTAACCGTGAACTGGTCTATTCTAATTTGTATTGAGGAAAAAGTTAATCAATAAAAAACGTTCTTTTCGTCATGTTCTTACAAACATCAACAATAATACTAAAAAGGATTACATTCTAATTATTTTGCATCCCTGTCAAAAATGTCATATTAAGATCGTACATACCTTTCTTTTCATCGGATTTAGCGAACTTGTAGCCGGTAGTGGGGTGCCCGCCTGGCGCCCCCAGACCCCCGATAAGTTTGGTCCCGATCTGCTGGTCCCACCGGGTTCAACGCAATGACACGAAGCGCATATATTTGCATATATTACCTTTCCTTTCTCTGGGTCTCCGCTAGGGAGGGTCCATTTAGTATTTTCATCAGCACTGCAGATTAAAACAAAATATCACATTCTTTGTAATCATTCTTTATTCTATCATTTTTAAACGTTATATCAATATAGTGCCATCGTTGGAGGGGCACCCATGTCCATCAGAGTATCAATTTATTTGGCAAGAAATTGAAACGTGAGGAAAGAATTGTGAACTACATAGAATGTGTGCGTTTGTGTGTGTGTGTGCGTGTGGGAGTGTGTGTGTCCGGTCGTGTGTGTGTGTGTGCGCGCGTGTGGGTTTGTGTGTGTGCGGTTGTGTGTGATGGTGTGTGTGTGTGTGTGGGAGAGATAGAAAAAAGGGTAGAGAGAGAAATTGCGTATGTGTGCGTGCGTTTGGGTGTGAATGTGTGACAGAGAGAGAGAGAGAGAGGGGGAATACAATAAACAAAGATGAAATTTGATGAAAAGAGAGGGGGAAGAGTGTGGAAGACAGTGGGGGGGGGGGGGGGGCGAGCGATGAAACAGAGATTGAAGGAGCTTGGAAGATAGTGGGAAGCAGGTGCTACTTTAAATACAAAGTTGGAGGATGGGGAGGGGAGGGTGATATAATGCCAACCCATCTTTTAAAATCCCTTGACCTTGGGAATTTTAAAATGGCCACTAAAAATAATGAGTGTTCTGATATTCAAGCAAGCATAAACAAAACACGATCGCAAAATCTTTCAAGGAATCGACTTTATAACGGCAAGTTTGATACTGTAGAATATAGGGACGCCAATGAAAAATATCCATGTGTAACGTGTATACGCATTAAATAGTCAACCGTGTATCTAGAACCTTCATAACGCCGTACTAATCAAGTGTTCTTCGGGTAAAAGCATGGTACCAAATTTAAGTACACTTGCGGCATCATACCACTCATTCTTATAGTCAAAATATATCGGCATCTTTTAATAAACAGTTACTGATGTAATTGACACTAGATGCGAATTTAAGACTGAGTGTGTATATTACGTGACTACGGCCAAAGAGGTATGATAAACGATCAAGTCACACTTAATATTCACTTTTCAACAAAAACCCCGAGGCAATGTCAATAACGTTGTGTGTCACCTATTGAAGTGAGCGAAGATGACAGAGACATACCACATAATCCGAAAAAGATTTCTAAAGGCAATACCACAGGGTATTGAAATTACCATGAACAGTAATTCGTAGATTTAACGCTAAGAACAAGAAATATAATTACTTGATCGTATAAAATCATTTGTCAACATTTAGAACAGAAAAAAAAATCGATTCTAACCTCATCGTTTATTGCAGATATTTGGCACTTGGTCGTCAGTAGAAAAGCAAATATATCGATGCCTGCTTCATACGTTTCTTCCAAAAAAAGTCCTCAGGAGTTCATGTTGTCTTGGTACGTCAGGGCTTGTCCGAGTTACTCTCTCAAGTTGACGAGCATTTCCGTTCATTCTTCTTTCTCGTGGTACCCGCACTTTCACAATCCATGGACCGTCTCTCTATTGAAGGGGATGTACATGTATTGATACATTTACCATGTAAAATTTACCATGTAAAAGAAGACTGACTCCTATGTATGACTGACTTCATTTTCCTTTGTACGGCAGTATTCAGTACTTGGACAATTTAATGGTTTATCAATTTGATATTTTGATTATACCATATGTTCATAATTAATTACATTTCACAATATTATATTGATATTTCTTCTAATTTTATTTATCTTGGTTTCCATGACCTTTATTTCGTAAGTTATTTATGTTTTTAATTTGTACGTTTTAAGTCAGTAAATATTATAGCTACGTCAGTATTTGTGCAGGGATGTCAGTTTGCTGAAGAGGCAATCCTGCTCTAATAAAATTGAAATAAGTAATAAAGAAAGAAAGAAAGAAGTATACAGATATATATACCTTACAGCGTCATTAGACGGACATATGAAGTGAAAAATGAGTCATTAAAAAAGTAGACATGGTCATTAGCAGTACATTTTCGTGTACTGTTAACGATTGAACAATATAATTACTGCCCTCTTCGTACGTTTGCAGGCAGTGGAAACTTAAAGACCTCCCAAGAAACAATAGGTTTAATCATTAGTCATTAAATTAATTAGTTACATTGTTTTGAAATTAGGGTTAGTGTGAGGGTTAGGGTAATGTACAGTTTGTATGATGTCCGGTTCATTAACTATTTGGGGTTATATATATATATGTCATGTTATTACAAAATGTAGTGTAATATATATATATTTACACAGATGGCATTAAGTCCTTGTATTGCAATTTCAACGCAAAATAAAATGTCAAAAAGATATTCTGAATGATATGCAATTATCATGATTGTTCAGTGAGTAGGAACAATTGTGCAGCTTCTTCTTCTTCTTTTTAAAAGATAACTCTCAAACTGATGACATCACACAGTACTCTATCTATATTTTCGAGTCTGAGATAACTGATATTTGTCAGTGGATTGTGACATATTCATGAAAAAGTCTTTCGTTTGTCGTGTTCAAAAATGTAATTTGACTTCTGTTTTAATTTATTTCTCCAAAGTGTCCTCTCCACTTGGTACTACTAAAAAAATACATATATTTATTTTTGTTTTAATTTTGGTGGTCATTCTGTTTTTACTTATTTCTCCAAAACTGATACTGAGTATAATTTTTAGAGAAAATAATAAATAAAACACAGAAAAACAAAAAGACCACAAAAAATTTGTCATTCTGACCAATTTGTGGTCATTCTGTTTTTATTTATTTCTTCAAAGTGCCTTCTCCATTGGGCACTATTCAATATATATATATATATATATATATATAATTATAATATATATATATATATATATATATATATTTATTTGGGGGGGGGGGTCGTTCTGGTCATTTTGAAACAAATGGGAATACAAAATGCCGAGTGTAAATGTCATTAGATTAAATTTTGCCAGAGCAATTGTCGGGCCACAAAATAAAGGGGAGGTAGCAGTCACATTGTGTTCAAGGAGAGAGAGACAGACAAACTGACTGATCGCATACGGGCAAGAGAGGGGGCTCCATCCTAAATAGGATCTCTATACTTTAACACCCCAGCAGCCAGATAAATCAGCTAGCTGTGCTATAAATAGGCTGAATATGCGATTTCTTCCCAGGGTTCAGTAAACTATTCACCGGGGAATTCCACATATATAATTTCTTTGTTCTTCTCGTGTTCATTCTTCTTTCTTGTTTAAATTCAATCAATTGGGTCTAATGTTTGAGCACAATGAAATAATTGCAAATTATTTATATTTGTCATTCAAATCTTTACGAGATTCATCTTCGGTGTTTGATGTTCTTATTGAAATTCATTTACATTCTTAGCGTCTATATTCTCTTACATTATTCACACGTTTTATAAGCAAACGATCCTGACCTTGTGATTTTAATTTATTGTTCTCTTTCTCTCCATTTCTGTAAATCCCCGCCTCCTTCGGTCTTCCTTCTCTCTTTCTCTCCCTCTCTCTCTCTCTCTCTCTCCGAGTCTCTCTCTCTCTCTGATTCCCCCTTTCCGCTCCTCTTCTATTTAACCCTCTCATCCTCCTCCCGTTTTTCTTCATTTCTCCTCCCTTCCCCTCACTGTCTTTCTCGCTCTCTCAATCTCTCTCTCACACTGTCTCCCATTTCAATAAACGGCTCACGTAATATCGCTTACACTGGGGGATTCCACATGTAAAACATGTAAAATCATCACTAGTCTTTTTACCCAGGGTACCCAAATCGGTTCAATTCTGCTTTGCAATTAATATACCCCAGCATATATATAATACAAGTAGGCCTATATCTGTATTTTAACTTTTCAGTCACATTTGATTTTCGAATTGCTTGGTATGCTTAATGTTTATTTTCTCCTTAATATGAGATATCTTGAATAAATTGTTGTGTGTTTGTTGTTTTTATTTTTTGTAATTCATTCTGTTATAAAAAAACAAATATAACAAAATATATAAAGGTTTCGTAATATTTTTGGTGATATCAGTCATAGTTACATCGGGCAAAAATATTTTAAAATGTTGATAACGTTTCAAAGGATAATATAGACTTTAATGCTTGTATTCCCCTACCCTACATACCCCCACCCCGCCCCCTCTCTCTCTCCCCCTTTCTCTCATTGTATCCCTCTCTCACTTCATGTAAATCCATATATAATGTAATAATAAATCGCGAACAAGTACATTCTTAAATATATTTTTAACCCTTTGCCCAGACGACCTTGTTATGATCAAATGCTCTTTGTGTGTTTTCGATGAATGGAGGCAGTATTGCCACATCATTCCATATATTTTATGTTTGATTGTGTGTGGGTTTTCCCACCGTATATTCAAGGCAGGGTCGATGCATCTGGGTATGCTAGACATGGTTACATACAACGAGGGTTGTAGAATGCTTGGAGTGCTTTATCCTGTCAAAATCAGAGAAATGTATTTGTTGGTATTCAGCGCTTTGTCTTGTCTGTTACAAAAATAAATAATAATAAATAACATTACAAAAAGGGGGGGGGGGCGTTTTATAAGTTTTAAAAAATTATTTAAATCATCACGCGATTACACTGGGCAATCATGGTGGTCATATTTTCATTTGTTTTGAAAACAATTACCACCCGACATGTCAGGCCTTAACTTCGTTAACTAGGTTACAATCGAGTTTTTGTTTAATTGAATTAGTTCGAATACCTTTTGCACTCTGTGGTGCATGTCTTCTTTATGGATTTCAATTTATTGAAATGGAATTTTATTGCTGTAAAACACGATCAACCTTTGTACTTGTGTGCTTCTGGTGTTCTTTAGATTCAAGGCATTACTTTCACTTTAAAGGTATTAACATAAACTTGATCAATACGCAGTCCTTTTCGAGGTAAAATACTTGATCGAGTGCATTCATCTAGAAGGACAATGTGTATCTTCCATGTTATTTAAAGAAAAACTTGTATTTGATCTCTACTTAACTCAATTATTTAAAAAATATATATTTATCATTTGTTATCATTTGGGTTTTTCCACTATTTGTTTAAAGCACAATCTGCACCGAAATTATGATAAGAAATGATAACGATAAACAGTGGGCAGCGTACACAAACAGGTGTACCTCAGTTTCAGATCTTACTAATACCATTCCAATGTCCCCATGACGGTGATCCATCTTATCTACAACAGTTTCTTATAAAATATGAACCGATGAGAAATCTGAAGTCAATACAAAAACGTACGGTAATGTGGTCAAAACAAAGTTTTATGGTCAATCAGGTTATGAGCATTCTGCCACTGAGCTATGGAATAGTATCCGACATATCGTAAGGCTAGCTAAGACAGTAAAACAATTCAAAGCTGCTTTTTAAAACATATATTATTCATGTGATTAAATGATGTTTGTACTCATTACTCACACATATTTCCCCGCATTTTTGTGTATGCCCTGTAACAGCTGCACTGCTAAAGCCATGGTAATTATGCTGCATTATTCGAGCGCTTAGAGACTTCTGACAAAGTAAGTGTTAGGCGCTATAAAGCACTGTTATTATTATTATTATTATTATTATTAATACCATATATCATATTCTTGAAGATCTTCAACATATTCAATTCTCAATTTGCCATTCTCAACAAGCTACAAGGAGAGTCGGATCTTTCAAATGCAGAACATGCTATGCTTTAACGCCTAGTACAGCTATATAGGGAAAATATAATTGTTTACCAATTATTGACGACATAGTACAGAATCGCAGTACAGTTGCGATTGATCCCGCCATCAAGGTGTAGATCGGGGGGCTAGGGGCGTGGGGAGGTAGTTCCCCCCCCCAATAAAATGTTTCTGTTTTAGATACCGGGTGATTTAAAAAAATGTTGCTGAAATGACTTTTTAGTAAATTATACTTTTTAGGCGTTTGTTGGAACATCACAAATTCCTAAATTTACAGTCAGGCAAGAAATATGCTTATTGAGGGGCCTACATGTCAGGGCCGCAGAATGGGGCTCAGGGGCCTCGAATCCCCCACTTTAAACCAAATTGCCTCGCCGATTCGCGGCTCGTGGACGTTGATCTACATGTAAGCTAATAGATGCCAGGAAAATATCACTTACAGGGGGTTCAAAAAAGCAACAACAACAAAAATCGCCTCGCGGCTCGTGGACGATGCTCTGCATCGTCATTGCGTCAACCCCTCCCCCTTGGCAAAAAGCTAGATCCACCTTTTAGGTCGTCCTAATGGATGACCTAAACCTCCCCCCCCCCAACCAACGAAACTGAATGTCGATCGGTCAAATTTTCAAATTTCGGGACCAAAAAAAAATATATAATGTCCTCTTAACCCCCCCCCCCCCCCCCCCCAATTATCAGCGGCTGGCTGAGTCGTTGCGAAATTTTTGGGACCAAAAAAATAAATATATGTCCTCTTTTGCAAATGGGGGGGGGGGCACCAACACAAAAGGGCACTTTCTGGAAAAAAAGG